CGAAAGCCTTAAAGGTTGCCTCGATAATATGATGTGAATTTTTTCCTGCAAGCTGCAAGCACGAAAAGAATAATATCGAAAAGCTCTACAGCTCAATTACTTGCAATTTTTTTTGTGAGTACTATAATAGGGCAGCCAATGTGCTGAAAACAACTTTTATACGCGAGAATACGTATTACTACCTGCCGTATGTGTAGTGTCATGCCAGAAGTATTTGACCAAAGACTGGAAAAAATGCTCCACCAACTGTGAACATTAGATATTAAAAGTGTGTAGGTGAAATTCAGCATAAATATATTTTGAAAGAAAGCAACATTATGGAAGTTACCCGCAAGAAAGCTACATAAAACGATGAAACCCCATCGACAAACTTCCCCCATAGTCAAGAAAATAAAAATGGTTAATATAAACAATGTGGATTACCTGAGTGTCATATGCCCCGACTCTTGCCGTAGGAATGTTTAAATCATAACTTAAATGCGGTCGGCCAGATAAGTCCTACAACAAAAACAACATGAAATTTAGCATGGTTATGAATTCAAATGTTTGTCGGGAAACACGGTTTTTGAAGAATTACATTAAGATAAATTCAAATTCAGTAATGTTTCATAGAATCATCATCATGTCACATTGTAAGGGAGGATTTACATTTATGTCAAGAAATCTTCCTAATAATATGAGGAAATATCTTGGATTCAAAATAAGTTGATGGTTTCAAGTTTCAAATAGTACCATAGGTTCATGGTTAAGAAATAACCATGCAATGAATGTCATACCAGCGAAACATGTACTAATGCTTCATCGAGAGGAGCTGAAAAATCACCGAACCGGTTAATCCCTTTCCGGTCACCAAGTGACTGAAGCAATGCCTGAAAGGAAACAGGAAAACTCATTTAATCCACCCAGAAATACAAACCAAAATCTTTACCTGTTGACAGAAACCTACCGTTCCAAGAGCAAGGGCAACATCTTCATTGGTGTGATGATCATCAATGTGAATGTCTCCGGTAGCCTTGACGTGCACGTCGAACAGCCCATGAGAGGCTAATTGCTAAGATTAAAAAAATTCATGTAAAGTAAATCAAATTAACAGCTTAAAAGAACAAAAAATTCAAACCAAAAAGCTAAAATGGAAAACAAAGAAGCATACATCCAGCATATGATCAAGAAAGGGAATACTTGTAGTGGAATTGGCAACTCCAGTTCCATCCAAGTTTATCTTAACCCAAACATTCGTCTCTTTCGTTACCCTTTCCACTTCTCCAATACGACCTAAACAACTCCCCAAGAAGAAGAAGAAAAAGTTAAATCCAAAATGAAAAAAGATGAGATAAATTAAAAAAGCAATGATTTTTATGGGATTTGGGTTTCGTTTACCTGAGGCAGTTGAAGCGGAAATTGGGGCAGGAGACGCGTTGCTTTGGGGAAGAGAGGAACAAGAAAGCGTAGACTGGGAATTGTTGTTACTCATTTCTTTCAAAGTGAGAGGAGAGAGTGAGTGTTGGAGAGGAATAAGAGGGATTGAAGTATGTCTATGACGAAATCTGGGCTTGGATTTTAATAGCGTGGTTGCGGCGGCGTTAGAGGAGGAGGTATTGAGGAGGCGAGAGGAAATAGAAAGCTCCATTTGTGGATGTACTGAGGGGAAGTGGGAAGAAAAAAAAACATACAAACGGAGAGCGATGCCAGGGCGAAAGAAAATACGGCGTCGTTTGTCCCTAAACTATGAGTCTCATTCTATATTGGTTCTCAAGCTTTTGAATATTTTAATTTCATCCCAATATTATGACTCATTTTAAATCATCCTTAAGCTTTTAAACATTCTAATTTCATCCCTAAAATATGATCCTTATTCTAATTGATGCCTAAACTTTTGAATGTTCCAATTTCATCTATAAGTTCATCTAATGAAATTATTTTTAACTGTAATTTAACGTAAATATTATTTTTCCAAAAATATAATAATATAGTTTGGCCTAATAATTTTATTGACATGGGACATGATTAACACATACCAATAGTTTGGGGATAAAATTTGAGGATCAAATTAGAATGAAGGTCATAGTTTGGGGATAAAATTGAAATACTCAAAAGCTTGAGAATCAATTTAGAATGAGAATCATAATTAGATGGTGAAATTAAAATACTTAAAAGTTCATTTATATATTTTTATATCTCATACTATTTTATTTAATATGTTATATTTATAATTAATACATAAATGTATGTGTATTTCTTTGAGATGAATACTATTTTTCTTTTATCTTAAAATATAAAATTTAATTGAATGATCAAATACATACATAAATATTTAACCTCGAATGTTTAATACTTTTTTTTGAAAGGAAGATAAATCTAGTTAAAACTTCCCCGACGGGTTTTGACCCAACCGATTGGGTTGGATCTTTTAAAAAAATCGGGTTCGGGTCGAGTCGGATTTAGGGTGAAAAATATCTGATCCTATCCGAAAAAATATATAATTTTACCTTATATATTTAGAAATAATTACAATAATACCCCTCTATATATTATATTTTTCAATTAAGTCACTGTTTTTATTGAATAAAAATATTTTTTTATTATTTCGGGTCGGATCGGATTTTTAAGTTATATATCAGGTCGGGTCGGATTGGGTGAAAACTTGTTTTGGTCGGGTCGGGTGGACCAAAAACCCGACCCATGCCCATCCCTACACATCCCCAACTTATTACAAGGTACCCTTTATTCAAAATTCGATTTATATATAACTTATTAAATGGAATGAATATTTTAATTTATCACATTTACAACAATATTTTAAATCTTATTTAGAATGAATGTATCAATGTGATTAAAATATATTCTTATTGCATAAAGATTGGAGCCGACCAATGTACATGCAAAATGTGTACATATTGTATCGTTTAAAGGTAAGCAATTCGAATCGAACGTTTTAAATTTCAATTTAAACTTCAATTTTTACAATTAAGACAACCGACAAATTAATTGGTACCGAAAGGGCAGTACAAGGGTGCTAATCCTTCATTGACTGTAACCGACTCCCGAACCCGACACATTTATGGTAAAACGCAGATCATGTAAGATGGTGTCCGATCCACCTAAATATTTTAAAATGATCGGTGGCGACTCTAAACCATTATTTCAAGTCGAAACCCAATTCTGGGCCCACCCGAAAGACGACCGCGACACATATGTAAGCATTATATCCAATTGTTTAAGTGCAAGTAAAGACATTGAAATAGCAAGTAGGTTATTACATCCATTCAGACCATTTCCCCAGTAGATTGTTGAAAACAAAGAATCAACCGCTGAAAACTGACTAACCAACAACAAAAAGCCAAACCTATCTCACCACCGATCTTGTATAATTTACATTAAATTATTGGAATTCGAATTCTACGGATAATTTTATGTATTCACATCCGGTACATATTCAGATACGTGTATCCGTATCACCGGAGCATTCGCCGGAGATCGTCGGGTACATGATGCTCGTCGATGTTAAGCAGGCAAGGAAGGTGCACTTGATTCCATCAGTATTGACCATAGAACATGCACATCTTCACAAGGGCAGGATTTCACATCCTCGTACAAAATGTATATCCCTCTTCCTGCAGGAAAAAGAAAACGGTAGCTTAGACGTAGGATTTTATACTAGAGAAGAGGGTGCGGATTAACTTACTTTTCTTCGGAGACGAGTGTAGGCGAAACCAGAGCTTCTTCAACGGAGAGAAGAGGGATTGGAGCCACCCCATTTGGAGGAGCGGTGGCTCTGGCTCATGTAGGTGACAAGAAGAGAAGTTCCTGCAGACTGAAAAGCAATGAACTGTAATGGGAAAACTTTTCAGTTTCTTTTCTTGCATTTAATGGGAATTTTTTTACCAATTATGGATTGATTTTGATGTTGTTGCAGTGTCATCGTCGAAACCGAAACCCTATTTTTTAAACCCTTGTGGAATAAGAAGCCACCCCACCAATAAGGTTTGGGTTCTAGGGTTCTGCTTAACCCCTTTTTATGGCTATATTTTTGTCTCACTTAACTTGTGCTTCAAGCCACTACTTTTGTTCCAGTTTCCTACATTGTGGATAGGGGAATACTCCATTTGTGGGGTTTCTTCTTCTTTTTATCTTTACTCACACATTTTTAACCTATGGGGTTGCGTGACAACAATTTCTACCTTATTAAATTAAGATATCGGTTTAAAATTTTATGAAGTCGGATCGAATTCAATTTCAAAAAGATGAGTTTGATGTGATTATTGAATATCGACAATATCTTAAGAAGAAAACCCTAGACGAGAAGTAAGTTACAAGTACGGATAAACATGGGATAAGTCGAGTTAGATTTTGACCATTCGATACAAATTAAAGAAGATTTCATTAATCTGGATTATAACTTATTTAAAAAATGGTCTCATAAAATCAAAATTATTGAATCCGAATCTTATAGCCATTCCAAGCTACTAGGGTCTTGCTCTCCCATACAACACCTGGCCTATTGAGTGACTTTAGAGTGATAGTGGGTATTGGGAAGTTTTATAGTACGATACTCTTAATATATAATTAAAAATAAGTATTATCGATTTTATTATTTAAAAAAATTACATAAAATATTATTATTTTTACTTAAAACATTAATATTTTATAACATTTTCGATAAAGTACTCAACAATAATAAAATCGATAAAAAAATAACAAAATCAATAAAAATAATAATGTTTTATGTAATTTTTTTATCGATTTTATTTTTTAAATAATAACAAAACCGATAATATTTTTTTTAAAGTGTAAGAACTTTGCTCATCATTAGTATGAGTACTTGACAAGAGCCCATGATTGGATTTTAATCTCCTTTATGCAGAAGTTGACACTTTTATTTGGTACATGTTTTTACTAATAATTATAGATTAGACCTTCATTTATGCATATATGAAAATATTACAGATTTTATTTTAGCATTTAACCTTACGAATCCCATGATTCCTTAAGGGACTATAGAATAATTTTTCCATTTTAGATTCAACTTACACCATGCTCACATGAATGGAACTCTAGTTCCAAGTCTGAAAAACACATCACACAACTGTTCTTCCTAACCCAGATTCTCTGATAGACGAAAAGGAAAAACATGAACACTGGAATCGGATGTGACGAGGAGTGCATCAAGTTCATTTCTTCTGTACCGTCACCAGGTCCAGAGTAGACCCGTAAGCTCTATGCAGCGCTTCAGCGCACCAACCGTGCCCGTCGTCAACCGTCGGCATCCTTACGTCCATTACCGTAACAACAGGTTGTTGAGAACCCGGCAGTACGACCCCGGCCAAAACTCTCAGCACATTTGATGCATCGATATCCATGCAGACGTTTATCTCCGGAACTCCTTTAGGTGCCGGAGGAAGTCCAGTTATCTTGAAATATCCGAGCAGATGATTCCCTTCTGCCTTATCCGCTTCCCCCTCGTACACGACTATCAACACCTCGGTCTGGTTGTCGTGGACGGTCGTAAAGACCAGTTCTTTCCGAGCAGGCATTGTAGTGTTTCTAGGTATGATAGGCACAAAAGTGTTCCCGTTAGCTCGTATCCCAATTCCGAGAGGTGTGGCTTGAATGGTTAGTAAGTCCAAGTTGCCAAAAGGATCACTGATACCAGAGGCCACTGCTCCTTCCAGTGCAGTCCCGGAGACCGCTGCTTCGAGTGGGTTCATACCTTTGTAGAGTTCTCTTTTGCATATACTCTTGACCAGATTTCTTATTTTCGGAATATACGAACAGCCGCCCACGACTATTACATCGGTCAGATCATCTACCTCTACCTTTGCATCGTATAAGCACTGGATTACGAGAGACTCACACTTCTCGAATATCTTCCGGTTTACCTCTTCGAATTCATCCCGGTTCACCTTCCGACATATTCTCGACCCATTACCCAAATCTACATCAATTTGTACACTTTCTTCAAAAGAGAGCTTGTGGATGGCATCCTGAGTTGCAACTCGAAGTAGCCCCATTGACTTGATCTCATTAATCCCACGGCTCGAGAAGAGGTTATCATAATCTGGCAGGAGATGACGCATCATGTTCTGAAGAAAGTCCTCACCTCCGGTTGCACTTCCGGCTAAGGCTTTTATCTGCGAAACTCCTCCGGCTGTGGCTGTTACAGCAACATCGCAATAGCCGGCACCCATATTTAAGATGAGAGCTATCTTTTCACTTCCACTGCCCATATTATCGTGTATCAACTGTTGCTGCTGCTGTGCGTATAGTAACGCAACAGCAGTTGGTTCAGGCATCAATCTAAGAACATGAAGACCAGCCATCGCACAAGCTCGTTCAATTCGAGTCAATTGAAACCTACTAAACGAAACCGGGATGGACAATACAACATTTCTTATAGGCCGCTTCAATTGAGATTCAGCCATGACTCTGAGTTCAACCAGAAATATCGCAAGAACTTCTTCGGGTGTAGTGGATCTCCAAATATTGTTCACCAAGGCCGCGATAAACGGACGAACACCAATGTCCAATGTCTGAACCAGAAAAGGAAGGCTTTTGCTTGCATGAACAACCGGATCGGTGTCAACTCTTCCAATAAGGCGCTTCATGTTGAAGATAGCAGCCCCGGATAACATTTCATGCTCGTGGGAGAGTTGATAGCTCACTCCACCCGAAGGAATTTCGTCATTGAAAGTGACGTACGATCGCATTAACTTCTGGTTCCTAGTGTTCCTCAGAAGCTCAACTTGCGAGCCATTCCAGATAGCGACGCTGCATTGTGAAGTTCCGATATCAATTCCAATCGCGGTTTCTGGAAAAGCATACGAAGATTTCTCCTCCCCTGTTGCTTCACTGTCGGATGCCACGGTGTATGCCGGCTCAGCCATTACTTCAAACTGGAAAAACAATTAAACAGCAACGATATTCATCAGAAGACTCATGATTAACGAATAAGACCGTCTAACAACTAGTTGAAAAACAACTCATGATCGAAAGATTTTAGACTCAACTACAACAAGAAATTTCGAGAAACTATTCGATATACAATCTAATTCAACCCCAGTATAAAAACCCAAATTCATAAACAGATGAAACATAGATTGCCTCAAAAACATTCTTAACACGCATAACCAACCAGTAGAATACCATTTTAGCCTCCGACACTATGGAATTATACAAACAATTTCTTCATGCAGGTCTTTTTACAAACACTTGAGATGCGCTATGACTCCATATTTTAACAATTCTTAGATTTTCTAAACAAAAACCTCAAAAACTCACCATCAACATGAAATTTACATTCAGGTGCTTATCTTACAACCAATAAAGAAAAGTGAAATGGCTGCTGCCTCTTTCTTTTCCTAACTCATAAAATTAAGCTCAACTTCAACAATTTCATTCAAAGGCCATTAAAACTATAACAACCAACAAATGAAATTCCCCTAGAAATGGTTAATAACCCATCAAAAATATCATAAAGCTGAAATCTTTTAGCATAAAAAAGACAATCTGGTTGACAACCAAGTTCTTGAATTTCCAATACAAAGCTTATATAACCTGATTATTAAAGAAAGCATTAGCGAGGAATGCAAACCTGATCAAAGGAAAGTGCAGAATGGTAAAAGCAAAATTTGGGAAGCTTTGAGAATGTTGAATTGCGGGGAGAAGGCAAAGGTGGCAAAGAAATAGAACTGCGGAGAGTCGAAGAGGCGAGAAGAATTGAGAGAGACACGTGGAAATATAATACAATGCTGCTCTGCTTTAGGTTCTAGAGTTTGCTAGAGAGATGCACTTTTCTCTATTTTTACTAAATGATTTATATATTTATATAATGTATTATTTATTTAATGTTCTTTAATAAAAAATAATAATGGGTAAATTACATTATTTCTCACTTAACTATACTCTCTCTCATATTTTACTCATCGTACTTTTAATTTTTCTAATTTACTCATTGAACTTTCGAATTACTCCTGTTTTTGATCACTATGAATTTTTTATTATTATTTATGTATGACATGAAAATTTCTTATTATTATTTAATATAAAATAAAAATAGAAGATGGTCGGACGTCACCGTCAGGCACTGTCGATTGTCGTAGATGGTGGTCATTCGATCTCAAATTTCACGTGTAGGTTTCGTCTCGACCCCTATAGTCTGAATCTGGTAGTTGTTTCACCGTAAAATGTCTCAAAACCAGTGAATCTCAACTAAAATGTTTCGACTTCCTCACTTTCAATCTCTAATTCGTGGACTTTGAAGCAAGTTCCGATAAAATGGAGGTAGGATTCGAACTAATGGTGTCGAGGCGAAGCGACCCATAAAATTTGAAACCGAACGACCATCATCTACGGAGGTCGACGGGGACCGACGGTGATATCTGACCACCTTCTGTTTTTATTTTATATTTTAAATTATTGTATATTAAATAATAATAATAAAATGTCATTTCATACGCAAATTTTTAGCGTTTAATGACCAAAATATAAGAAGAGAGAAGATAGTTGAGTGATGAATAGTATAATTTAACCAATTTAAAACAGCAGGAATTATCGGAACCGTTGGTCAACATTGGTCAAAATGCCACACTAGGTTCTTTTTTCAAGTTGGAGAATCATATCGTCCAAAAAATAGGATGAGGGTCACATTATTTTTTTTTAAAAGTTCCGAGACCTCGAGTGCCTTTTTGATATTTTAAATTTAAATAAAAGGTGGAGGAAAAGGAAAATTCCAAAGAAAGAAAGGGAAGTGCTTTAGCATATATATATATATATATATATATATATATATATATATAGCATGTCTTAGTTAATAGAAGGGTCCACATATATAAGGTGGGATATGGTCCGTAAGCTAACATTAACTATTGTTTTTTTGTTGTTGATAAATTTGCATGTATTATATCGAAAGAAAAACAATACAAACTTTGCTTACGGCACATGCTTTGGCCAATTGACATATGGAACCTTCGACTCCATCCTCCGCCGGGGTGAAAAGTTTGCTTACGGCACCGTGGTTATCCCCTCGTGGATGCGGCAAGCTCAACTCGATCGCCAGTGTCGTCGTCTTCCATGAAGAACAATGCTCCCGTGGTGTAAGTCTTCATGGTAGTCGAATTTATCCTCTCCAGGTAAGGCATGAAGGCATCATGATGGTTCAGTATGAACAGTTTGTAGGATCAAGCTTGCTGACAGGAGGAAATTCCTGCAGACCAAATTTAGCTTTTGAGATGAGCAAAAAATATAATATTTTTACGAGCTTGTTAAGAAGAAAGGTCATATAATTACTTCGAGAAGGCTGGTGATAATCGGGTTGACACCGGCAAGAGTTTCTCGTGCAAACTCTTCGTCCGACCTCCAAGCAGATCTATCCTCTGTAACCACACATGGCATCTTGCATAAATTGTATGCAAAAGAAACAAATGTGGTGGGAGAAGGTTTGTATGTACCTTTGATAACGGCGGGCATCGGGAACTTCATCAACCCTTCACCGTCGTTACGAACGAGTTCCCTGATCAACTCCCAAGGGAGACAATCCCTTATCTTCTTAATAGTGGCATCACTTGGTAGTTTTATACCACCTTCATAGAGATCAAGTACATCTTGAAAGGAGTCAAACCCATTGATGGTTTTGTCACATAATGCTGCAATCTCGGGGACCAGTACTTGAAACAGAGATTTCAAAGCGTAGGCGACGAAATCTGAAAACTTCACCTGGCTAAACCGTTCGTCTCACGGAACATAGATGTTTAAGCTTAGAAGAAACAGCCTAATCTCGGTCTTGGGATCTGTTGGATGCATTTCCGGTTAGGCCATGTTTACTGTTGTTATGTATGTAACGGATGGTATCATAGGAACAGTTCATACCAATTTTGTGTGGCTTCCGACCTGTTCTTCCTCTTCTAGGATATGGACACAATGCGGCGATCCTCGAGAACCGGACGATGACTATCCAGACCCTTTTCTGGCATTGCCAAGTCATTGTAGAAATCACAAGTCATAAGCTCTGTCCCATTCTTTGAGCGTTCCTTTTCCATCTCCCCTGAGATTAACCAACTCTTCTTCCCTATACCGTCATAAAGGTTCCGGTATTTAGCACGGAGGGTAGGTCTAAACCGAATAAATCTAAGTTATACATCGCCCCAAATCGAAACAACCAAAGTTAGATTCGAAAGTGAAGTTACCATGTTGGAGAAGAAAACTCGATCATACTTGTACCGATGCATCGGATAGATCCAGGAATTGCAAACGAAGGTGACTGTCTTGAGATAAAACTGGCTATGGTGTTTGTTTTTTATTATGAAAGCTCCAGGTACACCCATGGATTCGTCCCACTCAAATGTGACATCTTCGGCTGATACCGGAGCGATCTTCATGATCCAATTCTCCAAATTTGCAGGCTTCCCAACCTTCCCTCTCATCCCATTAGCTGCTCATCACACACATATGTTAAACACATCAAATTTTCAAGATGTAGAACAAACACTTGGTGAACGAAAAGGAAACTGACCAGGATCCGGGGAAACAGCACTGATGAGCTGCAAAGAACCGCCTCTGCCAAAGAGCTTGAAAACTCGATCGAGCAAAGAAGCAGTGAAATCATTCATGTCCAACACATTCTTATTCATCAAAGCTACTGTCCCTTCGATCGTCTTCTTCCTCTCGTCCTGGATATCCTCCAATATGGCTTTGTCCTCAGTTCTTGGCTTCACACAACACTTCACCATGGCTTTGTCGAGCATCTTTGAACTTGGGTGGTTGCTTTTTCTATATGGACCCATGAAGTTTGTCGTAGCACGTGTAATATGTCATTGAGAAAGATAAAAGGAAACCGAGACAAGGAATATTTGTGGGATGTATAATCTCGTTATATTCGAGTTTAATTTGGACCACCTTAATTTAAAGGTCGATAAAGATATTTTCTTATAACATTTGTAGTAGAACCGAGATATATTACACATCATAACCATGAGGATGGTATTGTCCAAAGTAGAGAAATGGCGTGAACCTAGTACAACCATAATCATGACAAATAACCAAACCTAGTACATTGAATGGACATAATGTGCCCTATTTCTATTTTGTTTATTTTTTTAGAGGAGGTCTAGATGATTAACTCGATGATTAAATCCTATTATCGCATTGGTGGCGGAGGAGGCGGAGGTGGATCTGATGTCTCTCGACTAGGTCCCGACGGAGGAATCGACACTCCTTTAGGCAACATTCCAAAGTTCAAACTCTTCGGAAACAATATCGAAGACCGGACAACTTTTGCTGGTGGCAAACCAATATTAGCACGAGGAGCCGGAGGACTAGGAACATACTTCAACAAATTTCCTTTAAGTGATGAAGACATAACGGCCGTGGGGGATGAATCGATATGATAACGGGTTGCCGGTGAAGGGTTAGGAGCATAATTCGACAAATCTCTTGTAAGCAACGAGGCTGAAACAGCCATAGGGGGTGAACCGATATGGTATCGGGTTGCAAGTGGAGGATTAGGAACATACTCCGATGAATCTCTAGATGTAACAGCCGTGGGAGGTGAACCGATATGATATCGGGTTGCCGGTGGAGGATTAGGAGCATATTCCGACAACATCCTGACCTTGAGGACTGCATCGACCGGAGTAGAGAAATGTGTTAAACCTAGTACAACCATGAACATGGTCAATAACCGAACCCTATGCTCCATCATACTCGGTTCTGTAATAATATAGGGTTATCTGGTTTTTATGTCTATTGCAAAAATAAACATATTATTGTTGTTTATATAGGAGTTATATTATTATTGAATATTTGATATTTTAATTTCCTTAAAAGTTATTGTTTTATTTTATTGCATTTAATGGTGTTGGATTCTCTTTGATCATATTCATAATTCATATTTCTCTAATTTTTTATTTATGACAGAAAATTATTTTTTGAAACACGAATCAATTTAGCTCAGTGGTTAAAAATAATCGTTGTTGTTCCTAGAGATTATGGGTCCCGAGCACCAACAATTGCAACAAATTGATTGAGAGTTGAGAGTATTTAAAACAGATACTACTTCGTAATTTCACATTAGGCATGATTCTAATTCGTAAAAAATCACTTGTATTATAATTTTTATAGGTAAATATTTATTTATGTATTCTCACATCATTTCTTAAAATTAGTTATTTGACAATTGATAAAATAATTGATTTTTCTTAATTTGATAAAATAATTTCTCATTTATGAGTAAGATTTCATAATTTATTTCCTTTTTGTATAGTGTTATTTTTTGTACGTATCAATGAATGCTATTGATTCGATTATATTTAATTTATTATTTTTTGCCTAACGTTTAGTTTATATTTCAATTTGTTACCCGTCGTTAAAAACTTAACAAAATTACTAACGTAACATTTTTAATTTCTTTTTTCAACGATGACGTGGTACTGTCTTATGGTGACACGTCAACAGCACTGTTAATCCGTTAATGATGGATACTAAATTGAAACATAAACTAAGCGTTAAAAGGTCTAACAGGCTCAAGCCCAAGGCCAACCATTTGATTGGCCCAATCCTTTCGAAGGAGACAGATTGACCTAGGCAGATCAATTGAGAGGAAAATTTTAAGTCGAAAAGGTTAGCTAATTGTACAATGTTATTATAAAATATGACATAAAATTAAGTGTTTAATTATATTATATGTGTCATAGATATTAAAGTATAGATATCATAAATTGAATTTATAATTTGAGGATAAATAAAATTATAAATACTTAAAAGATTTGCCTAATATTCTAGCATGAAAGGGCATTCATATAATATAGGCTTAATACATTTTTAGGTGTCTAAACTATACTTTAAATTGATTTTTGGTGCCTGGAGAATTTTTCGTTAAAAATAGGTACCTAAAGTTTTCTTCGTTATACTTTTAGGTGCCTATCGTTATATATTTTTAAGGTCTAAAACACTTTTAGGTGCCTAAACTATACCTCAAATTGATTTTTGGTGCGTAAGTTATACTTTTAAGTGTCTATCGTTATATTTATTTTTTATTTTTTAAGGTCTAATACACTTTTAGGTGTCTAAACTATACCTCAAATTGATTTTTTGTGCATAAAGAATTTTTCGTTAAAAATAAATACCTAACTTTTTTTCATTATACTTTTAGGTGTTTATCGTTATATTTTTTTTAATTTTTTAAGGCTTAATACACTTTTAGGATTAGGCACAAAAAGTCAATTTCAGGTATAATTTAGGCACCTTAAAGTGTATTTTTAAAATATATATTTTTAAATTTTATATGCATGACACATGTCAGATAAAGACTAAATTTAACGGTCATCTTAAAGGGCATTCTTATAATATAGGCTTAATACACTTTCAGATATATAAACTATACTTCAAATTGATTTTTTGTGCCTAAAATTTTTTCGTTAAAAATATGTACCTAACGTTTTCTTTTTTACACTTTTAGTTGTCTATCGTTATATTTTTTTATTTTTGAAGGCTTAATACACTTTCAGGATTAGACACCAAAAGTAAATTTGAGGTATAGTTTAGGAGCTTAAAAATGCATTTTTTAAAATATACTTTTTAAAATTTATATGCATGACACGTGTCAAATAACGATAAAATTTAACGGTTAATGGATTTTTGTTTGTACCAAAACCATAATTGCTATGCAACAAAAAATTCATCACTTTGCCCCAATTCACCACCACATTTACTGCTTTCTTCGAAACTTCATCACTCCCATTACTTTTTTTTGGTTTATCGGTTAATACGGTAGGTTAATTCGGTTAAAACAAAAGTGTAACGCTCCTAAAACTAAATAATATATATAATATATTAAATATTTGATAATTTTGGTTAATTAACCGATTTCGAACTGAGTTAACCGAAACTGAAGTTTAAAAAAAACCATTAACTGTTAACCGATCGAACCCAAAATTAACCGACCGAAATTTCGGTTCAGTCGGTTAATTTAGTTTTAACCGAATTACGAACACCCATACTGCTGAGCAAAATCAATTGCTTTAAAAAATTAATTTTTTAAACTTTTTCAAATTTAAAAATTACTTTTAATTTTTTTGGAAAGAATTTAATCTTATTTTATATTGTTTTTAGTACCAAATATTAGTATGAAAATAATAGAAAACTGATTTAGTCTCCGTTTAATATTTTTTTAGAAATTTTTTTGAAGTAAAAAATAATATTAAATAGATATTTTTTTCAATAAAAAATGCGGTTTAAGCAAAAATTATTGTTTTAACCTTCATTTTATTATTATATAAATTTTAATGTGTTTATTCATTGCTTAATAGAATATCAACAATAAAAAAATATTAATCATATATTATACCCTTAAATAAAGTAATAGATTTTTTTATAGAATCAACTAATTTTATTGAAAATAGAAAATATCTTAAATTACAATAAAAATTTACAATTACAATCGTAAAATAAGTACATAATTAAAAAAAATTCGATAATCATTGGGAAAAAGCTAGCAACTTAAGATCACATAAAGATCATACAATGAAAGATTAAAAATCTAACCAAGAAACTTAAACAAAGATAAATACAAATATATCTAATCGCATCGACAAACGAACCACAAAAAGAGATTGAGCTATTGAAAAACCACTGGTAAACCATAAATCAGACTCGAGTGACATGAATAGCTATCAACGAATGCAAATCGGGTATCTAAATCTAATATGAGAGTCTAAAGTAGAGAAAATCAACAAAATATAACATAAGTACCATCTTGATCTATCATGAAATTTAAAATCAACATTTACAGAAAGATAAATAAAAAACGACCAAATGACCAAAAAACATGTCAAAAGGCAGGCAAAAACATGCCATAAAGTCATATGGAAATGTGCCATGCAATCAGACTTATTGAAAATAAAAAACAAAAGGAAATAGATATACAATATAAGAAAAGAAAATGATAATAAAGAATATTGACGCTCAACAACCAACATTAAAATTATTGTCGCCGCCGATCAACAAAGACAGAAAAAAAGAGATAAGCGGTACACTAATGAGAGAAAACTAGATTTTTTCAATGAGAATAAAGTAATAGATCTAAATCTTGTTACCATGAATATAAAAAATAGATTAAGATGATCGTCCCAATAATAATTTTTCATAATATTTTATAATTTACCAGAATTAATTGATTAATGAATCATATATCAATAATTATAACAAACAAACTGTAAACGGAAAAAATCAAAAATAAATTACACATTTAGTACTTAAACTATCATTTTGGATTTATTTTAGTACCTAAACTTTTATTTTTTTCAAAATTATATCTAACATTTAGTTTTTGTTTCATTTTAGTACATTGCCATTAAAAACTTAACGCGTTTAGTAGTTAAACTATCTGTTTTGATTCGTTTTAGTACCTAAACTTTATTTTTTTAAAATTTAATATTAAGTTTTAAATATGGTAATAAAATGACAAAAACTAAACTTTAGGTATAGATTTTAAAAAAAATAAAAAATTTAGATATTAAAACGAATCAAAACATATAGTTTAGGTACTAAATGCATAATTTACCCAAAACTATTCTGTTGTTATGATTATGGTTTGCACATGCATCATCAATCATCATCATCAAAATATTTGCTTTTATTTGGCTTATTTTCACCACCTCACCATTCCATGGGTCACATTAAGGTTGCATAAAAATAACATAACATATATTATTGTTTCATTGTCAATCGAACATCACTTTTTATATAATTGAATAACAAAGCAAGCTATAAGGTGTGGATGCCCATATCCATTTGCCTGTTATGACCATGTGACGTACATGATGTGATGTATTCCACAATCTTATTGAAATAATTTTTAAAAATGTTTATTTTTATACAACTCCCAATTCGAACTCAATACCTCAAGAAATAACAACAATTTTTTTATCACTTAAACCGCTCGATTCGTACCACGAAATATCATATCCAATAGGTTTGAATACAATTAGTCTCGATTTCCAACTACTTTCTTCTATTTCCATATTAGTGTAAAATTAAATTATTTTTTCATAACTATATAGTTTTTATGCGATTTATACTTTATTATATATTTGAATATTGAGCAAGTCATAACTATAATCAATATATATATTTGTGTAACTATAAGATAAACAAAATTAATCAGTGTAATGTATGTATAAGACTATAATTATAATAAATATTTATATAATAACGACTAGAATTAATCATTATTAGGGGGCATGGGTCGGGTTAAATTTCACCCGACCCGAACCCGACCCAAATAATAATAAAATATTAGTTTTTATTCAATAAAAACAGTGACTTAATTGGAAAAATAATATATAGAGGGGTATTATTGTAATTATTCTTAAATATATAAAAATTATATATTTTTTGGATCGGGTCGGGTTGTATTTTTCATCCTAGACCCAAACATGACCCGAACATCACATTTTAAAAAACCCGACCGAACATGATTTTTTTTAAAAAAACCGACCCGATTGGGTCGGTCGGAACCCGTCGAGTTCGAGTCCCATTCCCATCCCTAATCATTATAATATAAAAAAAATTTGACAACTAAAATATCCATAAAATCTAATTTAAACTAAAATAAAATATAGAATAAGAACTATACAATAAATAAAATAATAATGAGACTTAAAACTAAGTTTTCAATGCCTCAAAACCTCATGTATTAATCATCTTTAATTGTTGACTTGGAAGTAATACCAAACCCAAGACTTTATTCCAACTTATTATTAATGATATTGTCAAGAAAAAAAATGTATAATTTATGTTGGAGTATGAACTTTTATAAAATTATATAAAATAACATATAATAATATATGACTCGACTCGATAAATAATAAGGGACATCGTGTTCGAGGCAAGTAGGAAAAAATTAGGGTTTCGACAAGAAAAAAATATATTAAGAAAGAACAAATTAAGAAATTTATCCCTAAATTACTTTAAATTTATAAAATGATTTTTTAATTAAAATTTTATTTAAAATTTAATAATTAAAAGTATATAATTTTATTTAAACTTATCACAAAATAAATACACACTTTTTTTTTGCAAAAAATAAAATATATATATATATATAATTTGAGAGCGAAGAAAGCTCAAATAAGAGAGGAGATATTGAAGCAAAAATCACTCTTTTCATCTTCTCTGGATCTGCTGCTGTTTCATTTCTAAAACACAACCTCTGTTGTTAATGTTGTGATTTAAGACAAGTAATGCTCGATTCCTTTACAAATAATTCGATTGTAGCCCTCTGATTATTCCGCAGGACCACACCTTTTTTATCTCGAAAAACCGGTGGATGTCGACGAAAAATTCCATTTTTATTTGAACAAAAACGAAAACCCATTGTAGTATGTCGGTTTGGTGATGGATTCAAGCAAAAGCGCTGCTTCTTCTCCACAAATGGCATCGTCGATCGAAGGCTAGTGGTTTTGTTTTTGTTTTTTAGTAACTTTTTGTTAGAACTACTCTTCGTTTCCTTTAATTTCATTGGGTTTTTTTTTTTCCACTTTAAATTTTATTTTGGGAACTTATTCAAGTTGCTTGCTTTATTAATTAGGTTAATTATGAATTTTAGCTGGTTTATGATTATTAGTGTGTGTCAATCTGAGGTAGATTCACACTTTCCTCGAACCATGTTTATCGCAGAAGTTTTGGTTTATCTTATAGCAGCTTCCTTTGTGGAGTGATTGAAAAGTTTCGATTTTGAGGGGTGGTTCTGCTGGTGTTATTTGTGTGCTTTTGGGAGTTTTATGTTATATGGACTTGGGGTTTTCCAAGAAAAATGTAGGGGAAAAAGAAAATAGAGGAAAACTAAGTGGGGATTGATGATAAAATGCTTGGAGATTGTGCTTCAGGACTTTAGGAACTTAGGTCGGTTTTGCTTCGCACGAAGTATGATGGTATGAGGTGTACCATTCTGTACATTTCCTTTTACAGTTGATTCTATATATATGTGTGTGGTAATCAAGGTTGGGTTTATTCCCTCTTGTGGAAAGCTTACATTGCTCGATTCACTCAACTTTTCTAATTGGGCTAGCACACTGTCAACATAACATATATAGATCAATTTTTCGGTCATAATTGTTGAAGTTTTGATTTAATGAGTGTGTGTGTGTTCAAGGAGATTGTTACAGACCCAGGGCAATGTTGTATAGAGTTTATAGTGTTATTTTTCAACATTGGCAAGTGGAATGGTGTCTTTTAATCAGCTCATTTGCTTATGTGAGCTTATGTTCCCAGAATGCAAATTTTCATGTTCTCAGTGCAAGATTTTTTGCTGTTTTCGTTGTATAATGCCATTTTTCCCTCTATAATTGAATTATATTTTTAGGTTGACATGAAAGTTTCTTTTATGCAGTCACGCTGAATGATATTAGCTTTATTTTTGTGTTCCTTTTAAAGAGGATTTAGTTATGGAGTTCTTGTAAACCCATCATTGATCGTCTTGTTAATTGCTGTAGATATTCATGAGAGTCATCAACAAGAATTAGAAAATTTGAAATTGACAACACAGCCCTTCAAAACATTAAGGTTTTTCGTTCTGGCTGTCTATCAATATTTTAAGCGATCAGCACTGTATCTTTTGGCAAAAGGTGGTTGGCTTATGCTTTCAAGCACTCTAATAGCAGTTCTTGGGATTTTGCTTGTAACCATTGAGGGTCCTCATGAAAAGGTAGGTAAAATTTTTAGGTTATCCTAGTCTTTTTATCCGTCTTTATCGTATTTTTTCTGTTGATGCAAAGCATATATTTGCAATTTTGTTTGTAGTTTATAAGGGTCTTACCTTTTTTCAGAATTAGTGATTGTGAAATGCAAATTGCTCATTTACTAATTCTTTTTTTTTCTTTTCATTTTTATGGGGGTTGAGGTGATTGTGCTGGTTCTTTTTTGTTTCTTGATGAGCTATACGTATATCTTAACCATTTTATTTTCCATGGTGCCGATGATAATCTTGTGCTCATTATTTAGTTAAAATAATTTCTTTTTCTTTTTTTCATCATTTATTGTACCCTGATCAGTAGGAACAATACTTAACTGTTGATATCTTCATTTCATTTTTCATCAGCATGTCGAGGAAGTTTCTCATTATGTTCGGTTTGGACTATGGTGGATAGCACTTGGTGTTGCATCTTCAATTGGTCTTGGTAAGAACATTTATGATAGTCTGGAGGAGCATGCTTGATGAATAATATTACATGATTTAGAGATAATTTCCAATTTAATATTGATGTTATATCAGCCTATGATTATAGGCTAAAGCTGGTTGACTAAGCAGATGTCAAATATGCCTTGATCTGACTTGTCACTTCTTTACTTCAAATTTCCTATTCCAGGTTCTGGTCTGCATACTTTTGTCCTATATTTGGGTCCTCATATTGCCTTGTTTACCATAAAAGCAATGCAATGTGGACGAGTGGACCTGAAAAGTGCTCCGTATGATACGATACAGTTGAAGAGAGGCCCTTCATGGCTGGATAAATCCTGTGAAGAGTTTGGGCCTCCATTGTTTTCAACATCACATGGTTCAAGGGTTCCTCTTAGCAGCATACTGCCTCAGGTGCAGATTGAGGCTATCTTATGGGGTATTGGGACTGCACTCGGAGAGCTTCCTCCGTACTTCATTTCAAGAGCTGGTATGTTTACCGGCTTTTATACTTGATATATTTTAGTTACAAAAAAAAGATTTACCAGAAGTATTGTTTACAGCAGTTCTGGAAGAGGCCCCACTCTGATTTTCATAGGCATTGATACTGTATATAATGCATTAGGCTATATCTATTTTTCATAATGTGATGATTTCGGGTTTTATTTTCTAAGAAAAATGGGTCACCATTTAAAATGATTATTTCATTCTTCAATCTCCTTTTTCTACTTTTGATGCTGCTTTGACTGGTAATTAATTTTCTGTACGAAGTTCAAAACCTTGGCCGTCGTCTTATTCGAAAGTTAACTGTCTACTAAAGATTGTTATATAATTTTAAATATTTACCTGATGTTGATCTTCTACTTTATGCAGCTAGAGAGTCTGGCAGAAAGTTTGACGCCATGGAAGAATTGGATGCTTCCTCGAGTGAGAAATCTGGAGTCATAGCTACTCATCTGAAAAAGATCGAGGGCTGGCTGTTATCGCACTCCCAACACTTGAACTTCTTTACCATTTTAGTTCTTGCCTCGGTTGGCACCTTTCTCTTCACTGCAATTTTGTTTCTCCATGACTATGATTTTACTGTTTTTTGTCATCATGACACCTAGGACACTTAATTGTGTGTTTATATACGGTCTTTATTCTGCTGTTAATGTTATTTTGTAAACCTTCTGATCAACTTAATTGTGTTTCAGGTCCCCAATCCTTTATTCGACCTTGCCGGCATCATGTGTGGACAATTTGGAATTCCATTCTGGGAGTTCTTTCTCTCAACATTGATTGGGAAGGCATTTATTAAAACTTACATACAGGTTTTTGATTTCTTCTTTGTGCTGTTTCACTGCAAGCAGAACTCGAGTTGCTTCAGTATTTTTCTTCTCTAACCGAATCGATTTCTTTTGATTCCCTGAATCGGCCAAAAAATGTCTCAATTCTCGAATCATTAGATGATTTTATCTAATAAGTTCTTATTTCATTCCTTTTCTGCAGATGATTTTCATTATCTCCGTCTGTAATAATCAACTCCTTGATTGGATGGAGAACGAATTGATCTGGATTCTTGGCTTTATACCCGGATTCGATACTTTCTTGCCCACCCTCACAGCAAAACTTCATGCAGCCAAAGACAAGTACTTGGCCGCACGCCCTCTCCCTACAAATATCAAGGTACTCCACTCTCGTAAACCAAGTATAAACAATTCAGTCCATTTTATAGCCCCGAGTTACGACCGACTCGAATTTAACAAACTCGGGAATTCCGTTGTGCAAAATGATGCCATAGGGGAAGTGGGATTTTTCATTCACTTCAATCTGGAACACTGTTGTGTGGCTTATGCTCATCAACTTCTTCGTCAAGATTGTTAATGCAACTGCTCAGAGGTATCTTAAAAAGCAGCTGGACAAGCAGGCAGCCGATAACTCGCGTGCCTCAACAGATTCAGATTGACCGCGTTATCTTGGACGAAACGGCTGCATTGAACCGTGTAATCATCTCCGTCTCTTAATCAAATTTTCTTTTCTGGTGAACTATTTTCTTAAGTTATTACCATTGAAGCAACTTGAAAAAGAAAGCCCCTGCAAGCTGCAATTGGCTATTCCCCTTGTTAGAATGTTGTATAGACAAAGAATAGGAACACGGAGGAGAGAAGGTATAGGTCCAGTTTATATCCTATCCTATGTAATGCTCTGGTCTGGGGGGTTTAGTTTAAACCATTGTTTTGGACTGTTTTTCTCCCATTCTTAAAGTACTGTTTGCTTGATTCTGGGAAATTTGAAATCTCATAATTCTTTGACCCTTCAATTTCAAGCTGCACCTTCTTAAATGTTAACGGCAGGTGGTTATATTGAAACCAATTAAATAGTTAAGTGGTCATATTGACTCAATTTTAAAAATGATGGTCATATTGACATCAATCCCATAATTGGGTGGTCATTCAAGTAATTTATCCAAAAAAAATAAATTATTAATTACTTATTTGTGTTTAAACACCAATTAACATTATTTTATCTATATCAAAGAGTTTGTTTAAGTGGTAAACAACTTGACATCGTTTAAGTAGATCTTGAGTTCAAGTCTTTTTGTATTTGGAAAATCTCTGTCACAAGACTTAACTAATAAAATTATGTGTGCGACATGTGTTAATCCAGATTAATTAAGATTAAAACTTGAGTAATTGGGAAAAAATACATTTTTTTATCTATCAATTTGAGCAGTGACGGAACATCATGGGATCAAAGGAGAACCTTGATCCGGCCAATTATTTTTAAAAATAGTAATTAATATTTAACATATATATTATTAAAAATAAAAAAGGAAAATTTATCCAATCCTCTCAACTAAAATATTCTATTTATAGAAATATAAGAAATATTTTAATATTTTAAAAAATTATTTTAATTGGTTATGAGTTATGCAAATAATAATAGCAAAGGAACACATAATAAATTTATATAAAAAATTATAGACAAATCGAAGATATTTATTATAGTATATAAATTAAAGAGGGGTTCAAATCCTGACGTTTACGAATGGAGCAAACTGGGTTGGGAGGGTCGCCCTCGTCTCTACAAGACCCGATCCGAATTAGTCGGTCAATAGGATACAAATATGTGTATTTTCTATCTGCTTAGAATCATGTCCAACTTACAACTGTGAGGTTGGGTCGAAAGCATTAGCATGCCCATTTTTCTTTGCAAAATCACCTTTGGTAACGTCTTTCTCCATCATATTCATCATCATTCATGAACCTCTTCCAAAACCAGTGCTGCTTCCACACCCTCTCCGTCATCTCCTCGATCGGGATGTTCTTCGTCTCCAGGATCAGGAACAACATAAAGATCGACATGAACGCGACCCATCCGGAGAAGAACAAGAACATCCCATACTTGAAATGGCAAAGCATTGATAGGAAAGCCTGAGCAAGTTGACACAAAACGTCACACTCTGCCCCGCCGATCGGGTCTCAAGCGGAAATGTTTCACTAGGGATCAGCCAACCGAGAGGACCCCATGACCACGCGAAGGCCAACACGAACGTACACACCATAACTACTACGAAGATCGCGAAACCTTTGTGGAGATCGACGGAGTGATCCTTGACCTTATATCAAATTGACTTGAAATTAAAGTTTTGTAATACCTTTAGAGACAAGTCATCTGACAGTATATCTTCTAAACATAGATTTCTGATAAATTACAGTGCATTGATAAGATCTCAGATAGATTCATGTGATGCGTCATAACAAAATTCAAAGTCTGACTATCAAATTTATCTAGCATGTCGGCCTACAAAAAAAAATTATGATGACCCCACCATCGACACACGCATTAAAGTCTGACTATCAAATTTACCGTGCACAACTGAAATTAGTAGCTTTGAAAGGGAACTCTAATTGATGACCAACTGTTTTGAAAAAGATAATTAATAATACTAATTAAATAAATGGTGTTTTACCAACAACCAGTTGGTCTAGTGGAATGAGGTACTAGGTCTCTTAAGCAATGTTAGGGGTTCGAATCATGGCGTTTACGAATGGAGCAAACTGGGTTGGGAGGGTCGCCCTCGCCTCTGCAATACTCGATCTGGATTAGTCGGTCAATAGATCGAACACTAGTGATTAATTAAAAAAATGGTGTTCTCATGGCTATCTCACCTAGGGTATTGTATACAAACGAATAGATATTTTTATCATCCTGATTTTGATTTAAAGGTCTAAGGGAAAGGTATACAAATGATCTCCCGACTATAGAATATTATTTTATTAACTTCCTCAATAATTAAAAAATTATAAAATGATCCTCCAACTATAGAGTGTTGCTTTGTTGAGTCATTCGACTATTAAAAGTTATAAAATGAGCATCCGACTATTCATTATGTTCCAAACACATCATTTTCCGTTAAAAAATTGACGATATTCTCAGCTGAATGTTAACATGTTGGCTGTGATATGATAAAATATGGTCTCAGAGTCTCAAACGAATATCATATCTCAGTCATCATGTTAACGTCCAACTTAGACAATCACCAATTTTAACAGAAAATGACGAATTTGAAACATAATGAATAGTCGGATGACCATTTTATAACTTTTAATAGTCGAGGGACTTAATAAATAAACATTCTATAATCAGAGGAACATTTTGTAACTTTTAATATTCAACCGAGATAATAAAATAGTATCCTGGACCATTTTGTTTAATTTACCTAATATTTATATTTGACTTTAGTTGAAAGAAACCACCAGCTACAAATGAATATGATGTCTCAATGATGAGCAGCTCACTAATAGTTGAATAAGTTTACGATTCGAATTTTGTAGATGAAAAGGATATATAGAGTAAGAACAAAAGTAGGATAAAATTGCATAACTTTTAAAATTAACTTGTACCTAAAAAGTATTTAAACAAAAAATGAGGATTAAAATGTGATTAATCTAATTTTAAAATTTAGACAGCTTAGTAAATAGTCTGATGAAGGAGGGGACGAGGGGTGAGAACATTATTAAAACTAATAAGGACCTAAGAGGTAATTATCTCCCACACCTTAAGGGGCGTTTGGTTCAGGTAATCTTGGATTACCAGGGGAATGAAATGTCATTCCCCCGTTTGGATTGCAAACATTCCTAACTCCTGATAATCATTTATTCCCAACAGTGGTATTTTGGGGGCTTATTACCGGAAATGTGATTTCCCTCTTATTTTAGGTATTGTTACATTCTCGGTATTTTGGACTAAAATGCCCTTATTTTTTTTCAAAAATATCATTCTTCTGTCATTTAATAAAAAAAATTCTATGAAGGTTAAATTACAAATTTATCCTTAAACTATTTTAGATTTACAAAAAAAGTCATAATTAGAATTTTATATGAAGTTTAGGGGTTAAAATAAAATTTTACCCTTTCCTTAAACCTATTTATCTTTTCAATTTTGTAAAAAAAATTATATAAATTTTACGAATTTAAATTTTTTAAAGAAAATATATAAATTAATTATAGTAGAATTCAACTTGTTAAAAAAAACAAATATATAATAAGGACAATTTGGTAAAATATACATTCCAATAATCTTTTATTCCTTTAACTAAATATTGTAATCTTACATTCCTGCTAAACGAACCAATCACAAAAATGCAACATTCCCGGTAATCCTATTCCCGCCGGTAATATTACATTCTATGAACCAAACACACCCTAAATTCTTGTCCTTTGACCTTGTCCTCTTTATCCCTAACTCCAATAATTAACCCTCTCATACTTTTAAACACTATTCGTTCGAGTGGGGATAGACCGAAAAAGTATCATATAGATCGTACACTTTGAAAATTTTAAATTCTAATATGATTTAAGTATTTTCTTTTGATGATCGTACAACAAGAATCAAGTAGTTAACCTTAATTTAGATTATAAACCACATGTTAAGTATAGGTTGTTTGTTTTAAGGTGTGTAAATCTTGGAACAAGCTTTTCAGTAGCTGGACATGATCATATTTAACATCTGTCAATTATTTTTTCGATGCCGAAAATACCCTTGGGTGAAAGGGATTTTTACCAAGTATACCAAATGGGTCAAGCTATTTGAAGGGGTACATTGGTCAGTGAGATAACCATCACATGGAATGAAATTTACAGTCATGTGATCACATGCTTAAGATGAGTCAAATGGAATTGAACATTCGAACTAGAGCATATTTCGATTAAGTCCAAAGCCGACGATTAAATCAAAGGAATAAATAATGCTTTAGTTTAAGGATTCTGTTGGGGCATTTTGCCATTTAGGGATCAATTTGGAATTCAGCCGATAGTTTGGGGACATCCGGTGCTATTAACCCTAATTAAACATTGAGTTATTCATAAAGTGCATTTTCCTTCCACCTCTGTAAATCACAAATCCCATGCAAAGGGAGGCAGAGAAGGAGAAAGATAAGGCGAGAGTAGCAGACTTCGAGTTCCTTTCAAGCAAAGGGAGCAGCCACGCCATGTTGATGGCCGACGAGCTCTTCTTCGAAGGGAAGCTGCTCCCCTTTTGGCAAATACAGCATTCCGAGAAGCTCAAACAAATCAGCCTTAGAAAGACCGAAGACGAAGAAGAGGAAGAAGATGATGATGATGAGGTGGTGAAGGTGGAAGAGGTTATAAACAAGGATGAGAGGAGGAGTAGTAGCATGAGTTGGTTCGTCGACGACGACCCGTCTCCGAGGCCACCGAAATGCACCGTGTTGTGGAAGGAGTTGCTGAGGCTGAAGAAGCAACGGGCTTCGTCGTTGTCGTCGCCTTCGAGCTCGCTGGCCGACATAGCTGCAGCTGAAGAAGGGAAACAAGAGTCTCGGAATAGAGATAACAAGCATGTGAAGAGGATAAAGAAAGGGTTGGAAAGAACAAGATCAGCAAGCATAAGAATCAGGCCAATGATTAATGTCCCCATTTGTACACAAGTCAAAAGCAGTGCACTGTCTCCTCTGTTTCCTCTTAAGAAAGGAAGATAGCCATAGCCGAGTTGAGTTGAGTTTGATCTGAAAATCTAGGCTTCTTCTCCAATATGTTACATTTGTTTTTTTAAAAATTTTCTGCTCTTTTTCTTCTATGATGGATGGAAGCTCAGATGTCTTACAATTTACAATGTAAATGTTGACTGGTATTTACTCTTTGTTTTTTTCCAACATGGTTTCACTTTCATCAGGCACCAATCTATTATCAGCTAGCAAAATGAGCAGTCATTTTACAGAACAACCACATGCAAAGATGCAGAGCAGAGTTTTATGAATTCTCAGGGTCCTACCCTGAAAGATCAGCCAAAGAGGGGAAAAAGAAAAGCCTGATGAACGGGGCTAACAGCAAATGAACCTTGACTGACAGGTAAATGCCATCTAAAATTTTAAAAGAACTAGACAGAGAGGACTCTTTTTGCCATAACAAATACATATCCACACATACTAAGTGATTTCGGTGGTAAATGAATTATTGTTATTCTTTGAAGTCTCGGGTTCGAACATTAAGAATGTTAAGGGATGAACGTTCAATATCAAATGATTGAGAGTTATTTTTGAACAGATACTACTTATACTCACCCAAATTAGTAAAAAAAATTACGTACACGATGGTAATTCTATTAAATGTGTTAAATATTATATAACACAATTTATTAAAGTGTTGAAGTTCATAACTGACAACCACCTTAAATATGATTACAACATAGAAAGAGTAAAGTACACCAAAGGTCACTAAACTATGCTAAAATGATCATTTTGGTTATTGAATTTTCAATAGTTACAAAATGATCAATAAATTTATTGGAAAATTACAAAATTGTCACTATAATGTTACAATAAGTATAAAAGTTCCATAAATGTAATTACTATTTTGTAACAATTTGATAAATATAATCACCATTTTTGTAACAGTTCGATAAAAGTTAATGATTATTTTGCAGTAGTTTGATAAAATTTAAGGCTTATATTACAAATAAGTGTCTAAATTATATCATTCTTTTATTTAAGTACCTAAAGTATTTTTTGTCAAAGTATCAATTGCTAATCCTCGACAATGGAGCCATAAACTTGATGTGCGCTGTGGGTGCTATAATTGAACGCAAAATGTGTGCAAGAATGCACAGTCGATCAAGTAATATAGTAGTGAGTGAGTATCGTCTCCACATGGATTGGAGGGATTTTAAAAGATGTTATAGAAAAAAGGGTGTCACTAAGTATATATATATATATATATATATATATATATGATGGTATAGACAATTGAATAAAGTTTGGTTGTGGCAAAAATGTTATGAACATGTGAAAAAGTATAGCTTTGGCGAAAGTTTTAAGGAAGTGATAAAGTGGATAGTGAAATATTGTTGTGGCAGAAAATTAAGTGAAGTGTTGAAGTAACAGAAAAATAATGTTGTAGCAAGAATTTAAAATTGAACTTTGGAGAATGAAATAAGAGTTGACAACCTCATACAATCAAGCTTCTATAGGGGTAATTGGCTGGATTTTCTATAGCGAAAGTTTATTCTATGTCTATAATGGTCTTAATATCATATGTCTATGCTACCTGAAAGGATTTACTAACAATGCTCGTAAGCTATCTCTAGTAAGGAACCTGATAAAACTAATGCTACGGAAATACATCTCAGCATGAACGGCAAAACTAGCTTATCGAATATGTCTTATCCCTTTTAGTCGAATGAAACCTTTCCTTATCTCTAAGGCAGATTAGAACCTAACCATCCTAGTTTAGTTCCTTTGCTCATGTAGATATAACCTAACTCTCTCGATATTAGACATTTGTACTTAAAAAATGGCAATCTCTCAAAAGCTCCTACAAGACTAAACATTTAAAATATAAACAATGAGTAAAACACCATTTAAACATAAAAATACCTTAACCATTCATTAATACAAAATAAAAATCATTCCAAGCAAACCCAACACCAAATAAATTAGTTCATGGTAGGGCTAAGTTCATTCATTATCATCCTTAAGTATAAACCCATTTAAAATGAAGAAATAAAAGCACAAAGAGAAGAAAACTCCCAAATCAGTTGCTGCTGTGAAGCTTAGGACCACTGCCTTGAACCTCTTTAGTGAGCTAGCCTCTCTTAAGGTCCTAACTGCTACCCCTTTGAAGCTCGGCTATGGAGGACACCACGAAAAAATAAGGGAAAAGGAAGAAGATGAAGAAATGGTGATATGTCACCTTCTTGCTTAAGTCATTCCCTTAAAAGTTCTTTAAAATGTAGGGTATCCTTAGGTATTTATAGTGGGAATTTTCTAGGGTTTTGCGCCAAAAAATTCCCTTTATACCCTAAGAATCATACCCTACACATGAATATGAGGCAATCTGACAGGTGGTCCAAAAAATATTAGCAGGGCAGTGCATTCACGTGAGCCTTGGATAGCTGGCAGCTAGATATTTTCGCTATTTTGTCCTTTTATGTGCCCAAATTTGTTGTAAAGTGTAATAACCCAAATATTGGGCCAGTGACCAAAATGTAAGAAATTTAAAATTTTATGGTTTAATTGGAATAAGTTGAAAAGCTCAATGATTGAGTGTGGAATTTTTGTTTAGGGTTTATTAGCAAAGATGGAAGAGTGAAAGGGAAAATAGGTCTTTTGGCTATAAATGAATTTAAAATTCATTTTAATTGAGATATTTAAAATAGGGAAGTGAGTAAGAAAGATATATTTGGAAGCTTGGTTTCTTATCCTTATCTTCTCGTGAGACTCCATTAAAAGGTAAGTTAATTTCAAGCTGATTGTTTCTTCAAATTTTGGTTTGGTTTTGAAGACTTATGTGATATATAAGCTTAAGGAAAGCTTTAGGTTGATTAAAACTAAAAGATAAGTGAATTAATGATGAATTTGTAAAATGGGTCTCTAAGGGATTTGTTGATATGGTTTGGTATTTGGATTTCTATTGATAAATTTGACTTGTCAAGGGTATAATTAAGAGATTAGAAGTATTAGAAAGGATTAAGATCATGCTTGAAGTTTTGGTGTGATCTTTAGTTCTAGGGTTCTAAGGAGAAATTTTAGGTATTATAAAGGAAATTAGAGATATATGTTAACTATGATTAAGGATGATGAGTTTGAGAGTATGAATGAGGTTAAAAGTTTGGGATTTAGGCAAATTAGGGGTAAAATTAGAAGTAAAATAAGGGAAATCTAGATAAGGGTATCGATACTGGAAGAATAATACCAATACTATAAGGGTAAATTAAAAAAATAACATATGAACCTGATGAACAATATCAGTACTGATTGAATTAGTATCGATACTGAAGTGGGGTATCGATACCAGGAGTAAGGTATCTATACTATTGTTTAGAATGAAATTCCAGAATACCAAAATGGTATCGATACCGAAGAGGGTATCGTTTCCATAGAAGAGTTGTATCGGTACTGCAGTAAGGGTACCGATACTAGTGCGTCGAAAATTTAAATGAGAGTTTTAGTTTCGTTTTTGTAAATACTAATTTGGTTATACGCTAATGTAAAGATGTATTGATATTGGATATACTTATGTGTAGATTTGGATAGGAAGCATTTCGGTCAAAGCGTTATACCAAAGTGATTTAGCAAAAGATAAAAGGATTTTGTCTAGGACTTTAGTGAACAAAGGTGAGTGCAACTCATTTGATTTATATTAGATTCGAGGGTGGCTTGCGATAAGCCAACCTCAGAGTTTTCAATCGAAAACCATTTTATTTCTTTCATGCAATATTTTATTTACAATGTTTTATTCAAGTTATAACTCTTAAACCATGTTTTGATTTTTATATGTACATGATTATGATATTGTGATATGTGATATATGCTTATACAAAAATGCTTGATGTGAAAGTGCTTATGTGAGCAAGACACTCTGAATAAGGAAATGATAAATAATTATGTGGTTAAAAAGTCCAATGTATATGTATGAGAATTAGAGGTATAGTTGGCATGCCAAGAGTCGAGGGTTCTATGTGGTCCTTCGGGACAAAACTATGTGGTCATTCGGGACAAAACTATGTGGTCCTTCGGGACAATCTTATGTGGTCATTCGGGAAAAATATGTGGCACTTCGGTGCAAATTATGTGAGCAGTGGTGACTGCATTAGTACACAACCTCAATGTACTCAAATACCTAGAGTTCTCAATAGTATGCATTGGGCTATTAAAAGCAAAGTAATAGAAATAGAACAATGTTTAAAAGCATATATATTTATGAATTATAACTTTAATTCATTACAAAATGTTTCTCTATGAGATGAATAAGAAAGGATTTTATAATGTCTTATTATACTAGTATTTGCCTCACTAAGTCAATGACTTAGCGTGTGATTGTTTCACACATAGGTTTGAAGAAAGCAGATGATTGAAGATAGGCGAGGATATTATACTATTACAAAGATCATATCAGAACAAATTAAAGCGTAGGTTTTCTTGTTATTTGTAAATTGTTTGCATGTATTACGAACTTTAAATTGTAATGCTCTGATATATTTTGTATGCTTACACTTTTATAATTATGTAAATTATTGAAAGATATATTTTCATTTTTGAAATTTTAATAGAAGTTTTATTATAAGGGTTTCACCACTAAAAACAGTTTAGAGTTTCAATGTTATATACATTTTTTTAAGAACAATTGTTTTGAAAGTTAATATGACACCTTGGATTCGCATCCTGGTCAGGTACGGGTTAGGGGTGTTACATAAAGTTTTGTCGCAGTAAAATTTTCTCTCTTTTGCTCCAGAATGCTACAGCGAAACTTTTCTCCTTGGCCACTCTCTTTACCTGCACAACACCACAACCACAAGACCTTTCCCTTCAACAACATCAATTTTATCAATAAATTTACGCTGCAACAAAACCTTTCCACAACATGCAACTATATGACCTAAATGCAAATAAATGATTTTAAATGCTATGAAAATGACTTTTAGACATTCAATAACCTAAGTAAAAAGATATTAAATTATATTATTTTTATGAGGTTATCACCTGCCTCGGGGTAGTCTCTGATAAGGTGCTTGAATGATCTACATCCATTGCATGCCCTAGAATCTCTATGGCACTCCACTGAGTGCTCCTACCATAGTTCCTACAAGTCGGGGGCTGTATGATCTTGGCTGAACCACTGATGCTCGCTACATATACTGAAGCTAGTGGCCTCCTATGGCCCTCTGATCCCTAGATGCAGACATATCCCTATTCCAACCTCTAGGCCTAAGAAGGTGAAGGTCTCTATGACCCACGAGAGTCTCTGAACCTTTTACCCAAAGCCTAGGATGATTCGGCAATGTTTGGGGCTCGTCGGCCTGCCCCAAGGTGTCACTATACAAGTTGTTCCTTCTGCTCATAGCTCACTCAATTTCCTTTGCCTAGTGGGTCAACTCAGAAAAGATTCTGAGTGGATCGACTGATAGGTGAGAGATGATGTTTATATAGAGGCCTTCCCTGAACCTCCTACAATAGTGCTCTTCTACAGTAACCAACTCTGACGCATAGTGGCTCAAGAGCAAGAAGTCACTCTCATACTCGTAAATGAAGTAACTACCCTGGGTTAGGTGTAAGAATCGGTCCCTCAGGTCATCAGTGTAGGTCTCGCTGATGTATGTATGCCTGAACTTTCACAGAAACAACTCCCAATTTGGTCACTCAGGCTCTGGAGCCAACTTCACGGTCTTCTATCAGTATATCGTATCATTTTCCAGTAAGCCGAGGATGCACTTTAAGCCACTGGTCGGTGGCCATAGGGTCATAATCTCCAAAACCCAAGAAGTCAGTAGTCTTATAACAACGAAGTCTCTCAACATGGGACTATTGAGGGGCTTTCACAAAACACTCCCAATTTGGTCACTCAGGCTCTGGAGCCAACTTCACGTCTTCTATCAGTATATCGTATCATTTTCCAGTAAGCCGAGGATGCACTTTAAGCCACTGGTCGGTGGCCATAGGGTCATAATCTCCAAAACCCAAGAAGTCAGTAGTCTTATAACAACGAAGTCTCTCAACATGGGACTATTGAGGGGCTATTAAGGGTGGAACAGATGGAGTGGGTGCAACAAGTGTCCTATGGATAGCCCTCACGATGTGCCTCAGTGCCTATATTAGGTCTCTAAATACAGTAGCCTCGTCTATGCATGCCTCCTCCGGGATGCCCAAATCCTTAGAGTCAGGAACGAACTCGTCTCCCGTGTCTCCAACTAGAGAGGCACAACTTTCATCATAGCCCTCCTAACTATGAGCGGAGTCGTCTTCCATATCCTACAATTTTCTAAGAAAGAAGAATAGTCAACATCGTCATCTAATACCACTAAATATAACACCCTAATCTTGACTCGACCCAAAATCCAAAGGATTGGAATGTCACACAAAACCACCTAAGTGGTTAACCATTTTTTTTTTTGAAAATATTTAACCTAGTTTTGACATTCAAGCGAAATATAAATACCAATATAAAAATATGGTTACCAAAATATAAATGTTCAAAAATGGGGGGGCTCCCAACAACAGTTTCTTCCAAAAATATATAGGTGTAAAATAGAGTTTACGACTCAAATAAATAATAAGGGTCTATGACAGTACAATCCCACTATAATACTCGAGACGTACTCTGCAAGATGATCAAGTCTGAAAATCCCAAATTTGGCGATGAGCTCCTTGAATGGCACCTAAGAACCTGTGCACGAAAACACATTCCATACGCTGATCTTACAAGCTCAGTGTCACACAAATAACCCTACTATACTACATGCATCCAACATTTGAGCATGCTACAAGTATGGTTATGAACATTTGCATACACTATCACAACAATAAAAGTAAACATCATGGTGTAGCTTAAGATCACTCAGCATCACGAAACTTACACCCCTTTTTGCTTACTAAGGAACCTTAGGCGAGACCTGGGTCACATAGCATTAGCGTCTCTTTATACTTCGGTCTAAGTCTGGGTCACATAGCATCGGAACCTCTCCCAGCTAGTATACTCCTCTAGAGTACTTGGGATGTTCTTGGGTCACTTAGCACCGACACAACATCCAACTAGCATTTAAAGTGCCTAAGCACTGAATTTGATATATTCGAATAATCCCTTACTCAACCATACCTATAACTACCCTTTGCCTTTTATATCTTAATAAATTTGGACTGATGAAATGTCTGGCTGTTCAATGCACTTTATGATTTAGGTCTCATTTGATTTATTTATCTTTTTTAGGTTTTGAACCATTTGCTGTATCTCATGCGTGTTGCAGAGAAGCCAGTCCAAAGAGGAGTGGCTTTAGCTCTAGCTCATCTTTGTTCCCCTGATGACCATAGAACTATATTCATTGACAATAACGGTCATTTTCTTTACCGTTTCCCAGTTACTCTAAATCAGTCATATTCTGTGTTTGGTGCAATTTAAAGTAGCAAACTGCATAAATGGAGCGCAAATGTTTTGTTGATTTTAGAGGCTGATTGTTCTCTGTTTTCATGCAGCACTTAAACTGCTTCTTGGTCTTCTTGGTTCTGCAAACGCTAAACAGCAACTTGATGGTGCTGCAGCTCTGTACAAGTTATCCAACAAAGCTACGACACTTTCTCCTATGGATGCAGCTCCCCCTTCTCCAACACCACAAGTGAGTTTGTAAAATTGGTTCGAGCATCATTCATTTCCATTGCCTGAATGAATATCATTCCGAGAAATCGGTGTTATGCCTGGCCATATACTGTTCCATTGTTATTGCAAGTCTAGTTGTTTCAAATTGCAAGGGTAGATCTACGACCTTCTCAATTTCTCATAATTGGTTTATAAGGAGGAGAATAGTTCATATGTATGGAAGTTCTATTCAAGTTCCTGTTATAATATACAACTTTTTTTTTTTGAAAGGTCTATTTGGGGGAGCAATACGTGAACAACGCCACCTTATCCGATGTTACCTTCCTAGTTGAAGGTTATATGATTTGCTTATCTAAGGCTCTGATACTTGCTATGGAAAATAATTGGTTACGTCAAAATAGAGCTCTTGTTGCAACTAAGATCCTTTATCTCTTCTCATGCAGGTAGACGATTCTATGCTCACAGAATCTGCCTTCTTGCTTCTTCAGATGCATTTCGTGCTATGTTTGATGGTGGTTATCGGGTGGTTATTGGCTTTAAACTTAAACCTATAGTTCTCGCTAGTGGACAGGGATGATGTTGTCAAGCTACATGAGATTCTTTTAAAAATTCCTCTTGGCCTGTATTGCAGGAAAAAGATGCAAGGGATATTGAAATTCCGAACATTAAGTGGGAGGTTTTCAAGTTGATGATGAGGTATTACAAATTATTTGATCCCAGTGTATATACATCGGATTTCATCATTGTATTCTTTTTTAGCATAGTTCTTTTTACATCATTGTACAGATTCATATATACTGGATCTGTAGATGTTACATTGGATATCGCACAAGATCTGCTCAGAGCAGCTGATCAATATCTTTTGGAGGGGCTTAAGCGACTTTGCGAATATACCATTGCACAGGTGAGCCGAAGAGGTTATCTGTATATATTCTGAATCCTTTCTATGCCCCTAAAATCTGGGATTGGCATCTGATCATTGCTATGTTTTTATTGAAGGATATATTGCTTGAAAATGTTTTTGGCATGTATGAGCTGTCTGAAGCTTTTCATGCCATATCGTTGAGGCACACTTGCATCTTATTTATCTCGGAACATTTCGATGAATTGAGTGCAAGACCTGGGTATGTACTTAAGATTTTCCATGACCCTGCTCTTCTTTAGGAACTTAACTGTATGTACTTAAGTCGAGCATCGCCTTGCGTTGCAGGAACTTTCATCTAGTCCAGCGGATAGTTCCCCAGATCCGTGATTACTTTGCTAAAGCACTTACAAGACCTAACACGCATAAACTGCGGCTATAGAAGGCCGGTCTCTTTTAACTCCTGATCTCTAACCAGGTATGTTGCACAGAAAGTAGCAGATCTTATCGATTTGGAGCCCGATTGATTACTCGTGGCGTGGCTCATAATCATTTTCATGTAGAGCAAAAAGTATTAGTTTCTTCTTTGATTCGTTGTCTGTAGATGTTTGGAGTCGTGTTGGGTAGTAGATATAAATGTATGGAAAGTGCTATCGGAGTCGGTTCTCGGTTTCTTCCATATTCTTACTCTCGGACCCTACCGGGTTTGAACCCCAGAAGTAAGGGCGTGCCAGAAAAGCTCCCTTGATTTTAACACCACCATGTAAAGCGTCTGATCCAGCTCTCATCAGTGTGTTATGAGTAAGGTTGGCACCGGCACTGACACCGCCGACGTAAACTCGATCGAAATCGGCGCAAGTGGATAACCAAGGCTCCTTGTTGGAAGCGCCATTGGAATTAGGAGATACCACCCATTGTAGAGCAGTCCAGCAACCGTCATAAGCAATGGGGAGAGGGTGCTCAGGGGCTAGCCTGTACTCGATCGAGATAACAAGACAAGCGGTTCGTGAACTTGGTTTCGAGGAAACAGAAAGCTGAACTGAAGCAAAAGCCGCCGCCATGGATTAATTAATCACTAATTTCAAATAAAAACTTAATTAACTCAGCTCAATTGATTTTTTGAATACTTTACGTAAAAGAATTATGTTTAAGAAAAATTATACCAAATCAACACATTTGTTATGGTTTTAGAATGTACACATCGATAATATGCATGGAAAATCGGCTTATTTTCTTAAATATACCGATTTAAAAACTAGGGTAAACTACATCATTCCTCATGGAACTTTACTATCTCTACTATTTTATTCATTAGACTTTCAATTTTTTTAATTTATTCATTGAATTTTTGAATTGCTCATATTTTTTATCAGTATGAATTATTTTATTATTATTTTCATATGACATGACATTTTTATTATTTAACATGAAAATAATTAAAATATAAAATAAAAATAGAAGGATGTCATCCGTTGGTGCTAGACGCCACTGTTGACCGTCGTAGATGGTGGTCGTTTGGTCCCAAATTTCATGTTCAGTCGAGATTTATGGAAAATATCCAAAAACCAGTGAATCTCAACTGAAACATTTCGACTTCCTCATTTCCGATCTCTAATTTGTGGAATACGGAGCAAGTTCCAAAAAAATGGTCATATTCGGACTCACCGGTGTCGAGGCGAAATGACCTATTAAATTTGGGACCTAACGACCTATTAAATTTGGGACCTAACGACCACCATCCACGATAGTCAAAGGTGGCATTCAACATCGGTGAATAGTTGAGGGTCACCTTCTATTTTTATTTTATATTTTAAATAAAAAATACTACTTTATACAAAAAATAATAATAAAATAATTGAGAGTGATCTAAGTATGAATAATTTGAAATTTCAATGAGTATATTAAAAAAACTAAAAGTACAATAAGTAAAATATGAGAGAGAGTAAAATTAAGTGAAAATGGTGTAATTTACCCTAAAAATTAATACTCACTTTAACATTCATTTATAATTATTTTAAGGGTAAAGTACACCATTGATCACTAATGTTTTAGTAAATATTCGATTTTTCCAGCGAAGTTTCAAAAGTAACAAATCGATCACTAATGTTATCGATTTGTAACAAATGGTCTCTCTATCGTCGTCCCCGTTAATTGATGGCATGCAAGATTAACAAAAAGGTCAATATTTTATTTTACCCTAAACTACTGTTAAAGCATCAAATAGGTTCATGAACAATGAACCTATATCTAATTTACCTAAACAATTTTCTAATTTTCATTTTCCCCCAAACACCTCACCGTCTCTATTATATTTGAGCCAAATCTCTTACAAAATGAAAAACACACTTAAACAATTACGAGTAATTTTTTTAGTATTTGTTTTAACCACACTAAAACATAACATCTATATTTAAACAATAAGTTGTCTTTTCTCTTGTTAAAAAAAGAGTGAATCATTTTGTTATTTTTTTTCTTTCATTATATTTTTAGACAATTAATAATCTACGAATAAAAAATCAAGTGCTAAAGAAAGAATAGAGCACATCGATAAATACTTTACTCGAACACAACATTGTGAGTAAATAGGAATGGAAAGCCATACGTCTTCATTTTCCATTTTTTGTACCAAATGAACAAAGTGTAGAAGAGACGCTCAAGCGGTGCCCTTTTTCATGCCCAAATGAAGGGATCAACGTAGAAGACATGCACACTTCCATGTCTTCATACTGCAAATCACTAAACTTTCATGAGTTAACGACTTGAGCAACTCGTGAGCAACACTAATTCGATTTAGTTAAAACTGGATAAAAACTTGATTTGGTTAACTCGATTCGAGGCTTTAACGAGTCGATAAAATTCGCAAGCAACTAGTTAATCTTTTTATAACTTCTTAATAGTTATCTTAAAAAAATATTCCATTTTAAAAATTATTAATTTACTTATAGATAATAAAAAAATATAAATTATTAATCTATTAGTTTTTTTAATAAATAATTAAAAATATAAAATTTAATAATTATTATTTTACTACACCAAAAAATCAAACATTAATTATTGTTTTAATGCATTTATAGATTGTTATTTTGGTGTTTAGACTTTGAATTTGTTTCAATACAACCTTTTGATAATTTTTTGTTAAAATTATTAATTTATGTTTATATTAAGTTCTATCTAGTATTAGTAAATTTTACTTATTGTTAAAAAAATAAAATAAAATTTTCATTAAGTTTAACAAGCAACAAGTCGAATAACAAATTTTTTTAACGAACACGAATTGAATATTGCACAACTCACAATCGACTCGCTTGACCCCTAATTATAACACAAAATAAAGAATTTTGTTAGGCAACATTGCTTTTTTTTTTCCAAATATATCATAATCAAGGATAGATGAAAGAATTTAATCTCTTGAAAATTTTAAATTTTTATATATTTTATCTTTTTCATATTTAATTAATATTTTAATTTAATTCTTAAATTTTTATAAATTTATCATCTTTGAAATTTTAAAAAATTCACTTTTTAACATTAAAAAATATTATTCTAAAATCTTATCCAACTTTTCTTTGTAGCAGTTATCCTTCATTGTCTGTCCGTTACCCAACTTTCTATCTTTGGGACAGTGGTGCTCTTTCACGGTCACCTCTCTGTCCTTTTGTCCCCATTTACATAGTATAATAATAATATTTTTTTGACTTTTTTTTTATAAATGGTATTATTATTAGTGATGTTTGTAGATTTTCGGTGTATGTTTTTTTATTTATTTTTTTTTTGGTATATAATTTTATATGATTTGTCTCTTTTTTTATGTTTGTTTTTCTGTTCGATTGTATAGGATGATTTATTAGTTATCGTATATATATATATATGCCGAATGAGATTATCGTTAGGGGAGATTATTTTTTCATTGGTCGTTTTGATTATTCTTTAAGTTTTTTATTCTTCATATTTAGTGCTCGGAGTCGTTGATGTAATTTGTTTATTTACGTTGTTATTTCACTTGTTCATGCTCATGCTTATCACGTTATCATTAGGCAATTATTGTTATATTTTACTTATGATAGTCACGATTGTATTTATAATTAATAAGATATTATTAATACTACTTTCGATAGATGAATATATCTTATTATTGCTTTAAAAAAATAATTATATTATAAATATTAATAGCAGCCTCCTAGTTGGCTTATTATAATTTTTCGATCTTTTGACTTCTGCTCAAATAATTTATTCGAAGGTTGACGCAAGCTTCAACTTTGGGCTATAAATTGTGTATCATAGAATCGGAACAAAACACTTGAAATCTTGTGTTTGGCAATGAAATAGCCACCGAGATCCTCCCTTTCATCTGAGTTTTCAAAGATGGCTCAGTCCAGAGATTGTCTGGCTCTCGTCTGGTCCAACCATCTGCCTCGGACCCTGAAACCGGCATTTCCTCAAAGGACATCATCGTCTCTAAAAGCCCACCAATCTCAGCCAGAATTTACCTTCCAAAACAGCTGCTTGACTAAAAGCTCCCCCTTTTAGTCTACTTCCATGGTGGAGGCTTTTGCTTCGAATCAGCTTTCCCTTTCGTCGAAACCAAGTACATGAACTGCTTGTCTTGTTAAGCCAACGCTCTTGTTATCTCGATCGAGTACATGCTAGTGTTGAAATCTAGTGCACATGGCACCGAAAGTTGGAAAATTAAAAACAAATGGGGCACCGATTCATGTAGTCAAAAAGGGGGCTGAAATTGTTGAAAAATAAAATGGTAAAAGCTTAAATTTAGTCATTGAATTTAGGATATTTACAAATTAGTCCTTAAGACTTCAACTATAAATACCCTAGCTCATTTAGCTTCAAAACCATCCCAAATCATTCTAGCTTTCTTCCAATACTAGAGAGAATTTAGAGAGTTTCTTGAGAGTTGTTTTCTCCTTTTTTATCGAGAGAGAATTATCCTTATTTTCTCCTTGGTAGATCGAGAGAAGTTGTAATTCCTATTTTCTCATAGTGAAATTCTTCTACCGTTGCCCGTGGTTTTTACCCTATTTTATTTAGGGGTTTTCCACGTAAATTTTGTGTCTCTTTTCATCTTCATTTTTATTTTCTCAAATTATCAGTTACGATTTTGCTCTATCCGATAGCCGTCTTCCGCAACAATTGGTATCAGAGCTAGATTAGAGTGTGTAATATCTGCTTATTGTCTTTGTGGTTGCCACCAAAAGGTGGATCCTCCAACATAAGGAAGTAAGAAGGTATTACCCATTCTTTGAAGGTTCCAGAGAACTATTCACGATAGTGAAATAGTGGGAGCTATCCGTAAAAGAAGCTATGGCAACGAAATTTGATATTGAAAAATTCAATGGGAGAAATTTCTCATTGTGGAAATTGAAGATGAAGGCCATCCTGAGGAAAGACGGGTGTCTAGCGGCTATCAGTGAAAGGCCGGTGGATTTTGCAGATGACATCAAATGGAACGAGATGGACGGGAATGCTATGGAAAACTTTCATCTAGCATTAGCAGATGAAGTATTGTCAAGCATCGAGGAGAAGAAGACAGCTTAGGAGATATGGGATCATCTCACCAAATTGTACGAGGCCACATCGCTGCACAATAAAATTTTCCTTAAAAGGAAATTGTATACTCTCCGTATGCCAGAATCTACTTCAGTGACGGAGCACTTAAATACACTGAACACCTTATTTTCTCAGCTTACATCCTTAAGCTATAAAATAGGAGAACAAGAACGTGCTGAACTTCTACTTCAAAGTCTACCGGATTCATACGATCAACTCATCATCAACTTGACAAACAATAATGTCATCAGTTTAGTCTTCGATGATGTTGCAGCTGCTGTTCTACAAGAAGAAAATCGGCGCAAGAATAAGGAAGACAGACAAGTAAATCTGCAACAAGCAGAAGCGTTGACAACGATGATAGGAAGATCAACAGAACGTGGCCAAAGCAGCAGTCACAAACATGGTAGATCGAAGTCGAGGAGCAAGAAGAATTTAAAGTGTTACAACTGTGGAAAGAAGGGTCACTTGAAGAAGGATTGCTGGAGTCTAAATAAAA